ATCAAATCTAAGATCCATCAATTATAATGTATACCATTATGTTATGGACCACTGAGAAAGAAAAAAATGCTGCTAATTACATAATTCAATGCTTTCTCATTAGTTAGATTTCTTCCACATGATATCTGTGCCACTGTCCTCTGTGCATTTCTTAAAGGGATGTTCTACACTCATCTCTGGCAACTTTTTTTGAGCCTCTGACTTGCATTCTGCAAGTTTTGTCCTGGGATTTTCTTAATCTTACCATACGATATCAACAAAAGGTTTACAAGTACCTATTAGGAACACATTTTAAATGGTAATTAAATGCAACCCATGTAATATAAGCAATGTACATAATTTAATACAAATAACCATGATTAAGTTCATGCACATGCAGCAAAATGACAACCACTATGTCATTGTCTCCCAGTGGCCGCAAGATATATTCCATTTCAGAGTTGCTAAGCTGAGGAAAAAACATGTTTCTTAGAGTGGATGGAATTTGGGAAATATGAAATTAGCAGTGATCAAGAGGGAACCCACCCTGGCAAATGCTGGGTAGACTGTACTTTACGACACAGGGTCAGGTGTGGTGGACAAACCCAGGCATCACTTAGATGCTCACTGTTTGATAGCCGCGGGGTTCACTATTTTTTATACGTCAGTGCATTCAGTCATCCCAGCACCGCACTGAGTTGGGTAGTTTTATTCTCATTTTATAGATGAGAAAATTGAGCTCAGAGATATTAGTAACACAGTCCAAGGTCACAAAAGTAGCAGGTGATGGAGCCCAGATACAAACCTGGATGTGTCTGACTCCAGAATCTGTTATATCCCCACCGAACTAGTTTCCATACTGGCCTTATGTCACTTAAGTTCTGACAGCAACTGTAGTTGAAGTTCACCTGGTCCAGGTATTCCTCAAGGGGTCCCTTAAGTCGGAATTTTATGGAAATGAGATAGAATTGTCTACACAATATGCTATGAGAACTACACACAAGTGAGAGCACAGTGAGCATATGCATATATAAGTATATACGTACAACCAGCAGCTGGCAAGTGAGAGGGTGATTTAGGCTGCTCTGGCTAATGCACAGAAGGAAGACTCGCGGGCTCCTTACAACCCTCCATTGCATAGAGGTGTTTTGCGTCTACATTACTTCCTTTGTCACAATATCAAACATCCTCGTTGGCTATAGGAGCCCTGGATTTCACTGTTGGCTAGTTGCAGGCCAACTGTGAGCTATGGGTCACGACTGCCGGCTTCCGTTCCCCCAAAGACCACGATCAGGATCCCCCGACAGCAGCTCATCTCAGGTGTGGACAGCAGCCCTCCGGCCGCGTCACCCGCTGAGTCGAGCTAGAGCTCTTCCTAAGCCATGGGCCTCACATTTGAAATAAGAGTCAAGATTAGTGTTGAAATGTTCTTGAAACTGTACTATGGACTTTATTGTCTATTTTTGTTTCTTTCACAAAAGACTTCATCATGAAAAGGAGGAAGCCCAAACTGAAGTGAGTCGTAAACGCTGTCTCCGAGAGAGGCCTGTGGCTTGGCCCTGAGCTGAGGTACGAGGCGGCGGCGACAGGGAGGGGACTGCGCTGAGCTGCACCATCCCTGCTCTCCTTCCCTTTGTCTCTCCCTTTCTCTTCCCCTTCCTTTTCTGCTCACTTCACCTTCCAGGCTTGCTTTTCCCCTTTCCCTCTCCTGGGAATTCAGTGTACCAAAGATGCTGCTATGATGATCTGCTTTTCTAGATCTCAAGAAGGGACATGTGACCTGAGAGGAGAGTCTGAGCTGAGAGGGACAAAACTGTAAGAAATCACAGCTGTTCTGGAAAATGAAGGGTGAACAGTTGCTGTGATGTTGCTTGTCCACCTGGCCCAAAAGGCTGCTGGCCTTAGCTTTCCTTCCTCCAATACACCTTGCTCTCCTTTAAAAATGCTCTTTTCTAAAGATTTCTTGTCATATCCAGGAGATCTTCATATATTTGGGCCCCCAAAGAACCCAGTTGAGAGTTGGAGCACTTGCTGTGTCCTCTGGTTCTCTCAGGCAGCTTCACTGTCTCCTAACCATTGAACGATGGTGGAATAAATGTCTTGTCCTGCTGTATCAGTTCTGGAGGAGAGAAAATATAAATGGCAATGGGTGATTTTCCTAACCATTCAATCACTGTGAAAATTCTCTCATTGCTCTTGCCAAGCTCTGTCCTTGGAAAGCTGAAGTGGTTTAGTGTAGCCTTGTGCACTCATGGCCTGAACCTCAGAACTCGTCCATCTCCCTCCCCCACCCTCTCCTCCCACCTTCTCTTACTTTCTCTTTCCACGTATTATTATCCCCATTAATTTTTTTAAACAATCACAAACTGACAAATATTTCCTGAATCTTTTGAGAATAGTTTTCCAATTCGATGCCCTATTATCCCCAGGTATTTTAGTTTGCATTTCCTATAATCAAAGACATTCTTCTACATCTCCATATCCAAAATTTTACCATCAAAATCAGGACATGCACATTGCACATTATCACCACCTAATCCTGAGACCCCATTTAAATTCTGCCAACTATCCCAATAAGGACCTGCAAAGCTAGAGGGTCCAGTTCAGAATTGCACACTGGGTTTAGTTGTCTTGTCTCTTTTAGCCTCCTTCAGTCTGTGACAGTGCTGTGGTCTTCCTTTGTCTTTCATTACGATGACATTTTTTAAGATCCCAAGCCACTTATTTTATAGGATGTCCCTGAATTTGGATCTGTCTGATGTTTCCTAATGATGGGATTCAAGTCATGCATCTTTGGGAGGAATATCACAGAAGGACGCTATGCGCTGCTCATTGCGTCCTGTCTGGTGGTGCACTATTCTGACAGCCCCGTTGCTGACAGTGTTCACAAATCGCTTCATTAAGAAGTGTCTGCCTGGCTCTTCACCGCAAAGTTACTTTTTCCCCTTTGAAATTAATGAGTATGTTGGTTTGAACTATGTAACTATTCTGTTCCTCATCAAGCTTTTCATTAATTTATTTATTTATATCAGTACAGAGTCTCATGGTCTCCTATTGCATTGGATCAATCCCCAGGATGTAACTGATTTCCCATCTCTCGCACCAAACTCTCTCCCCTCGGATGCCCTCCTCACCCTGCTCAGGCTCTGATTTCCTGCACTGGGCTGCACCCCCTCTCCTGATAATCGACACCCTCCTGCCTCCCTTGGGTTCTGGACAGTAGCTCCCTACTCCCCCCACTGCAGATTCCTGCCTCTCTTTGTTCAGCTAATGGATTTAGAACTGAATTGTTCGGGAAGGGACGGGAACAGGAAGGGGAAGGACACCTTCTGTCGTCTTCGGTTCTCTCCTTTTCCCTCTTTCCCGTTCCTCCCGACTATCCTATCCTGACCCCTCTCACCTTTGCCAGTTCCCACATCCGTCTTTCCAAGCACTCAGGGCAGGACTGAGCCTTGAGCAACCACATAAGCTCCTCTAGTCAGACTATGAGGGCCTAGCTCCTGGCGTGGGGACTTGCAAGCTGTGTGACGCTGGCCGAGGTTACTTTCCGTCTCCAAGCCCCAGCTGCCTGGTGTATAAAATGAACATCCTAATAACGCTGCTCCACAGTGTGGCCAGACTCAGCCGAGGCAGGGCCTGCAAAGCCTCTATTGCCTCCCGCAAAACGAGCACTGGATAAAGCCTGTTGACGGCTATCTTCCTTCCTCCCTGTTTCAGTGGAGGTTGTTTTATCTCTTTTTTCTTTTTCCCCCCGAATGCTTTCTTTTGCTTCATTCTTTTTATGTTTTGGCTTCTCTGAACTATTTTACTTTCTTGCCCTTCATGACTCATTTTACTTTATGTTCATGCATAAGGTGTGCTCAAGGGAGGCAGTCACTGAGTTGCCACCAGCAGGTCTGTGGGGACTCCCACACTCGCCATGCCCTGTCATAGGCTTGTAGGATGTCAGGCAGCGGTAGTCCCTGCACTCCACGACCCTGGCTGGGACAGCAGCGACAGTGCTCACTGTTTACCCATTAGCGTAGGCGAGAGTGGGGAGAAAGAGTCTCTGAGAAAGGACTGAGGTGGAAATATGTGCACAGTGAAGGACCCCTCCTCTAACTGGCATGGAGTTGTGAGAGGGAAGGGTGATCTTTGGATCACTTGAGCAGAATTATACTCTGGGGTCTCGTTCCCTTCTTGGAATTCTGTGATTCTGAATCACAGAAGGTGAAATCCAACGGCATAGAGCCATTGCTGTCTGTCGAAGCAGTTCCCGGAGAGAGAGCAGGAGATGGGTGACCGTCACTGACTAGATCCACACCCACTGTGTACCTCTGAACCGAGGCCTCAGTCATGCTGAATGATCGGGAAGAAATGTTCCCAGTTTAGGGTAGTTTTGATGCCCTCCTTAACAAAAGCTGACTTGCAAACCCTGAATGCTGGAAAGAGTGGTGGCACGTTAATTAGACAGAAAGTAATGGTTTAGGGGATCTGGGGCACATGTTGGAGGCTTCCCCGAGAGGCCTTTCCTAACCACCTGATTAGTTAGTGCTGCGAGCGCCACACCCCAGGCACTTTTCATCCCCTGTACCTGTTCTAGAGTTTTTGGAGCCTTTATCATCCAACATCTTTATTTTTTTTATTGATTTTTGAGAGAGACAGACATCGATTTGCTGTCCCACTTATTGATGCATTCGTTGGTTGCTTCTTGTATGTGCCCTGACCAGGGATTGGACCTGCAACCCTGGCGCATGGGGCGACAGTCTAACCAGTCGAGCTACCTGGCCAGGGCCACATCTCTTTTTGACTTGGTTACTCTGTCCCTCCATAGCGCGTAAGCTGCATGAGGGGGGGATCTTATGAGTCCTGCTCGGATGTATCTCCAGTGCTCAGCACACCACTGAGCATATTGTAGCTGTTGATAAAATTTGTTGAATGAGTGAATGAGCAAGGCTACGTACATGGGAGATTAAATTTTCTCTGCATCTGTTCACCGTGTGTCCACTTGGTCTGTTTTACAATGTCTGCGCAGAAGCACAATGAAGAAGGGCAGCAGGAGGTTTACCTTGAGGATCGATGAGCAAGACGACACCTGCGTCCCACCCATGCGCGGCCCGGGCCAGCTCCAGAATGTGTCGGATGGGGGAGAGTACGCCCCCTTTGTGTCTCCTCCCATGTTAGAGGGCAACTTTATCCAGGTAACCGCTCCAGCCCTGAATCATGTTACAATAGCTTCAGTCCTTAACTTGCTCAAAGGTGACTGCAAAGCTTGGGAGAATTGTTTTAACTGTGCCAATGGAATGTGTGAAAGTTAAAAGGACCAGTTTTGGAACTTTACGCAGCTGAAAATAATTATAATGTTAAGTAAAAATTCATTTCAAATTTTCCCAACTCTAACCTGGGAATTCTGTCGTAACTCTACCATAATTTTCTATCATAATCTCCCCAGAATTATATGAAGAGGTGATAGTCATTTTTAGGATATCCTGTCATAGGAAAGCACTCAGATAACTCCTTTCTTAGGCTTAGAAAACAAAGATCAGTGAAGACTTTTATGAGAATCAGTTGGCTGAGTGGAATTTAAAATAAAGGGTATTGTATATAACTATTTTTAAGTTGTGTGCTTATATTTTATGTCAGTAAAATTGATAATAAACATGTGTGTACCTTCTGAGAGACAGTTGTTACACATTTACCAGCACACCAGTGCCTATGTCCCCTCTAAGTCAGGTCCCCAGTATGTGCCCCATAGCACAGCACCCTGAACTTGTACTTCATAAAACTTCTTACAATAATAATTAGTGCCAGCCCTGGCCGGGTTGCTCAGTTGGTTGGAGTGTTGTCACATACACCTAAAAGTTGTGGGTTCAATTTCTAGTCAGGGCACATACCTAGGTCGTGGGTTCGACCGCTGATTGGGGCACATGCAGGAGGCAACCAATTGATGTTTCTTTTTCCCTTCCTCTTTCTCAAAAAAAATTAATAAACATATCCTCAGGCGAGGATTTAAAAATTAAAAAAAATAATAATATTAATAATTAGTGGCATAGTTGTTTAATGTTCACCTTTCCTGGTAGACTTCCAAGGGTCAGGGGCCTTTTTGCTGTGATAGCTCCAAGAGCTCACATGAACAAGTGAGTGAACACATGCATCACATGGTTCCTTTCTCCTTTATTTCCTACACTGCTCACGTAAGCAAGGTTGCCGGGACCATGCATCTTATCAGAAAACTCCTCTTCCTATTCTCTGCCTTAGGTCAACAAGAGAGGTGAATCCATTTACCTTCATAACCGAGCCAACTGGGTGGCTGTGGCCATCTGCTCTTCCAAGGGCAGCCTCCAGATCCCCAACGTGATGTTGTTAGCTCATCTGACACCTGACGCCCAGAAGGATAGAGAGCCCCTGTTCAGAAGTCTCCTGACATCTTCTCCAGAGAAACTGGTGCTCACCAGGTTAGTTACAAAGGAAAGAGGTGAAGGATATTTCAGAAAATATGCTTTACCCCTGCGGAGCTAAGAATGGAAACACGGATGACAACTGCTCCGAGGGAGCATCTTACTTGCACTCCCAGCTTGCAAATGAGAGAGCCACACCCTCAAAACCTGCGAAAATGGTTTATGCCAACCTGGCAGTCAAATAGATTAATTTTTTTAAAAAATTAAACTTAAGTAACAGGAACTGAAGACTCAAACTACGTCTCTAGAACAAGCCCCTCTCCCCACAACATCTGAAATTCTACCAGAATTAGTTCTGGTCTTGTCTCAAGCCACCAACTTGCTATATGACCTAGAGCAAATCACCCACCTTCTCTAATTCTCACTTCTGCAGGATGAAATAGGACGATTTCTCATGGTAAGTAGCTGATACTCTGATTTTTTTTAGTACATCAGAGTCAGGAGTATGATTCAGGTGGGATGACCCCAAGAGCCTGATTACATGTACTAAAAATGAAAGTTCTGAGTCTCTCAAGCTGAGGACCAGCCCTGGGAACACGGTAGCCACAGGAAGGCACTGCCCCTCCCCTCCCTGCCCCCACCCAGGCCTGTGTGGGAGACAAGCCTGTTGTCCTAAGTCTCACTCTTCAAACTGCTAAAAACATAAAAGGCCTTATTTTTATATTTTGACTCTATTGCAGATGTCCCCTATTTTTCCCCCTTTGCCTCGCTCCACCCTGCCCCTGCCCCTCCTAGGCCTTCACCATATTACTGTCTGTGTCCATGGCCTATGCATATATGTATGTATGTTCTTTGGTTGATCTCTTCCCATCCTCCCCCCCACCCCCACCTCCCCTTTGAGATCTGTCATTCTATTCTAAGCATCCATGCCTCTGGCCCTATTTTGTTCAACAGTTTATTTTGTTCTTTAGATCCCACATATAAGTGAGATCATGTGATATTTGTCTTTCTCTGATTGGCTTCCTTTGCTTAGCATAATAGTCTCCAGGTCCATCCATGCTGTTGCGAAGGGTAAGAGTTCCTTCTTTACAGTCACGTAGTATTCCACTGTGTATCTTTCGATAGGTCTCCAATCAGGCCTCTGGATGACCTTTGCATTTGTTTGCAGGTTTCTTCCTCTGCAATTTGTGACTCTGTCTGTGCACGATGCTGAGAATATGTGCCTCAAAGTGAAGCTGGTGAGTGGTCGAGCCTACTACCTACAGCTCTGTGCCCCTGCATACAAACAGGAAGCCTTATTTTCTCAGTGGGTGGAGCTCATCTCCCACTTGAATCAGGAGAAAGCCAAAGCTTCCAAAGTGTTGGAATTCTTGAGCCTCTCAGAAATCACAAATAGCACAGACATCACAGGCTCAGGGGACATCATGGATATCACAGATTTCACAGCTATACAGACTTCACATACATTCACATATTCAGACCCCACGCATGCCATAGAGAGCACTGATTTCTCAGAATTAACCTTCATCACCGATGTCACCGACGTCACAGATGTTCCAGAAAACGAGGTCACTGAGGCCTCAGATATAAACATTTTCACAGAAGTCACAGAAGTCACAGACGTCACAGACCTCCACGATGTCGCAAGCAGCTCAAGGTTCAGAGTGGTATATGAAAATGATGACATACTAAGGGCCAAGCAAGAAGAAAAGGTAGGCAACATGGAAGAATTCCATTCTTTGATAATCAGAACAAGAGTGATCACCACAAGATCGCTCTTCTTGGTTAGCTCCCTGACATCAGTTATCAAAATGCTGTGGAACTTGCTCTGATCACCTGATTTTAATAATGAAATCTGATCCTTGGTGTAAAGGAGTTGCAGGTGTCTCCTGAAATAGGCAGTGACCATCCTTACCACCAGGCTTACTTCAGTGTCCGAAAGCTATGGGGGGATGGGGAGAACTTTGGGATCAGAGTGTGAGACCTGGCTTGGAATCCGGCCTGATGCAGTGGTTTGGCCAAGTCACTGAACTTGTATGAGTCTCAGTTTCCTCATCTCTAAGATGAGGCTATTAATATCATGTAAGAGCTATTTTAAGGTGAAAATGTATATAAAGGGATGCAGTACATTGAAGGGTGGGGTGAAACCTCATTAGGTAAAAGTGAGGGTAGAAATAGGAAACTAAAATACCAATGGAAGTGAGTGGATATAGAAAAGGCCAGAAAGTGGAACAATACAGAGCCATAGTTAAGAATGGTTGGTTCTGTTTGGCTGTAACGTCATATATGTGGAGAATATTAGGATATAGGATTGAGAAGTTGCTTGCACATTGCGAATGCCAAAATAAGACGTGTGGATTTCAGTCTCTGGGCAGAGCTTAGCCACAGCAGCCCTTTCTGTAAGCGTGTGAAGGAGAGCTGTGTTTTGGCTTGTTTCTTATTTAAGATTGAAGGCTTTTACTTATTTCTTTTTAATTGACTGTTAGAGAGAGGAAGGGAAGGGAGAGACACATTGATGTGAGAGAGAAACATACATCAGTTGCCTCCTGTACGCGCCCCAACCTGCAGGGGTCAAACCTGCAACCTGGGTATGTGCCCTGACCCGCAGCTTTTTGGTGCGTGGGACTATGCTCCAACTAACTGGGCCATCCGGCCAGCCAAGGAGCTGTGTTTTTAGAAGATTAACTTGATGGCAGAATGGATTGTAGATAAAGAAATGAGTTTGAAGATTGCTGCAGAAAACCTCTATGGAGTCCACAATTTTTTTAAAAACTGGCAAAGGGCAAGGAAGGAGTTTCACGGAAGAAGAAACTTCCAATAACTTCAGTGGGAAAGTTTAACCTCACTAGTAATCAAAGTGCAAACACAGGAAAAAAAAAAAATCTAACCTGTAAAACTGTTAATTAAAAGAATAAAAGCAGTTCACGTTAGCAAAGGTGTGGTCAGCGTGGAATTCATATAGCTCCTCGTAGGGGTGAGAATTGGTACAGACCTTCCTGAGATCATAATGAATCATGAACCTAAAAATGTTTATGCCTGTTGACTCAGTGATTCTACTTCTAGGAATCTTTCTAAAGGAATTAAACAGAAATAGGAATGAGAATTTAGCTATAAAGATGCTAATCATTCCTCATCTATATCATGTTTATAAAAATGAAATCATGAGAATACAATAGTAACCTAAATGCCCACGCCAAGGAAATGGCATCCGTCTTAGTCAGGGACGACCTCGGTGTGTATCTGGGGAGATCATAGGCACTTGTCAATATTTGTTAAATGAATGACTACTCTGTAGCTATTAAAACGGTTGAAGAATTGCTCTTTACTTAGAGACATTCCCATGATATAAAGCTGAGTGGAAAATGAAGACTATGATCCTTAGTGTATAAAAATACACTTAAACACAGAGGCAATGGGGGGGCATATTGTTAACAGCCGTTTATTTCTGAATTTGGGGATAACAGGCAATTCACATTTTCTTCACACTTTTCTGAATTTGCTGTTTGCTACAACAAAAAATTCATTTTTTAATTAGAAGAAATCAAGGTTTAATGATATAAGAAAAATGCTTATCATAAATCATTACGTGAAAAATGTAGCGTATAAAACAGAAATATAATCGCAAAACAGGCACGTACAAAGTAAACAAATGGACAAAAGGGCCGAGTGAAACGTGCCATAGGAGTGGTGGTTTCTGGCCAGTGGCATCGAGCCGGCAATAATCCTCTTCCTTTCACTTTATATCTTATAGGACTTAAAAAATTATTCTATAATAAATATGCATTATTTTCTCTGTCAGACAAAACGAAGTTTTTAGGAGGGAAATTATTGTGTTACTTCCCAGGAAAGGTAACAGAGGTGATGGGCTAGTCAGGGGATGAGTGAAGTGCAGATGCAGGGGTGTGAGAGGGACACAGTCCTCAGAACGGTTGTCCAAGGCCTGAGAGATTCTGAAGAAGGCCGTGGGCACCTCCTAGAGGTGGTGCATTAATAAAACCAGGAAATCCGGAGAACGGGAGAGATTTTAGGATATTAAGTTTTAGGTAGAGGTTCTAAGTCTTTTGAAAAACAAACTCTGTAGTATTATTATCAGCCTCCAACTCCTCTCACCCCCCAGATGCCCTTGAACCAAGAGCAGCCTCAGATTGGGGAGTAGGTAGCAAGGCTTTTCTAGAAAAGCCACCTTTCCCTGACAATTCGGGAGAGGAAGTTCTGGAATTTAGTGCTAATTTCCTTGTGTGAGGTGACTTTGGTACATGACCAAATGAGCTTTCCAATGCGCTGCGTCAGGTCCCCGCACTGCCAGCTCCGGCGCCCAGCGGCCTCCTCGCCGGCCACGCGCCAGCAAGCTCGGCCCCGCGCGGCTGAGCCCGTGCATCGAGGCCGCCCAGTAAATACGAATGAAATGGCTACTGTTTCAGATACGGCTCCACAAATAACCTATTTCTGTATGACGCTCTTCCATTACCTGATTTGCTGCTGCGTATTATTTTCAAAGGAAAAAATGGAAAACAGTCTGAAGCCTGGGTGTCTCCAAGGTACAGAAAGTGAGAGTGAGATCAACGAAGCCTCAAAGCACATCGCCATCTCAAACGTGACAGTGACTTTCGAGGGCGAAAGATGTTTTCATACTGTCCTGACTACAGAAGAAAATGCACCCACTACAGTCACGGAGATGAGCGATACAACCTTGGAAATAAGGACAAGCGATTTGAAAAGCACGGCTCTCGAGTCTGTAGAATCCAGGTGCGTGAGGCAGGGAAACAGCGGGGATGCTAAGATGCGAGGTAACGTACGTGAGTGTCGCTTTAAAATCGCTGCAACTCGGGCATTTGTTGCTGCAGGGTCTCAGACGCAGATACAAGATAATCGGACATGGCATAGTCAACTCTTAGTTATCCACATTTGGTTCAGTCTTGTCTAATTTTTATTTCCATGCCCACTTCCCATACCATTCAGTCTGCATTCTGGGCTGTCTGCCTGGTGCCCACTGTGGGCGCTGAAGAAAATAGGCTGGAATCACAGGGCCCAGTTTGGGAGTTAGGGGACTCTAGAGTGACAATGGGTGGCCCTTCTTTTATCTATATGCTTCTCTATATTTTCTTCCTCTACATATCCCTTACACTCTTCTACATTTCCAACCAGTAACTTAATAATCTGAAAAAACTACTCTCATAACTTTAATATCCAATTGCAAGATGAATGAGAGGGAGCACTATAGTGTTATAAAGACAAAAGTTAATCCAGTCATTTTGGAGTAACACCTAAAAAGAAACCAGAGGAAAATGTAGATTTAATGTTTATATTAGCAGTAATGAAAACGAGGGATGCAGTAATGAAAATGAGGGATGCATGTCTAAATTTTTTATAAATATAAAAAAGAACAGGCAGATTCAGGAAAGCAAACCTAAAAAAAAGTAATAAACAATAAAAGTTTTAAGTAATTTAAAGTGATAGAAACTGTAGTTCATTCTTCAAAAAAAAAAAGTCAAACCATTGTACAACTTTTTTTCTTAAAGGGCAAAATTGGAAACTTGAAAGGTGTTACATCAACTAACAGGAAGATTAGTAAATTGTTATTGAGAAAGGTTATATGCAACTACGAGGCATGAGTATGGCTTAAGTGGAAAAGCGTAGGATTGCTTTTAAAAAAAGATTGAAATGGCCCCAGCCAGTTTGGCTCAGTGGTTAGAGTGTTGGCCCATAGATTGAAGGATCCTGGGTTCGATTTTGGCCAAGGGCACATACCTCAGCTGCAGGCTCCATCCCCGGCCCCAGTTGATGTCCCTCTCACATAGGTGTCTCTCTCTGTCTCTCTCTCTCCCCCTCTCTGTCCGTCTCTCTCTCCCTTCCATTCTCTGAAAAGCAATGGAAAAAATATCCTCAGGTGAGGATTAAAATAAAGAAAAAAAGAAAAAAAATGAATCCATCCGACTTAGCAATTTCTTCCTAAATAGTAATTGATCAGGTCTGAATATTCTGATGTCTTCCTTCAGCTTTATTTCATTCATATGCCTCAGATCCCATGTCCTGCCCTTGTCTGAGGCTTTACAAACAAACTGCAACTCAAATCTCACAAAGTTAACTATTTAGATCATTTCAACTTCTTCCCTTGCCCTTAGATTAGCTTTTAGTGCCTTTCAATAAAACAACTAATGAATAAACTTTATTTTCAAGTAAAGTTTTAGATTTACAGAAAACTTGAGCAGATAGAGCTCCGTACACCCACCCTCTGCCACCCCTCGCTCTTCCTCCACCCCAGACCTCCTAATTAACCCCTTCATCAGTGTGGTATATCTGTTGTAATTAATAAGTAACATTGATACATTGTCATTAGCTATAGTCCCTAGCCTAGGGTTTGCTCTTTGTGTTGTAGAGTGCTATGGGCTTTGACACACGCATAGCGACATGTATCCGCCATGACATACCCCCCAAATCCTCTGAGCATTAGGTTAGCTCTTACCGGCTTTTTAAAATATTAAAATTGTGAGCTAAAAATTTTTTTCAATGAAAAATGCTCTGCAAATGCAAATTTTTGTTAGTCTCACTATTACGATCACTATTAGAAATGAAAAAATAAATCCCTATATAAATAGTAAAAAATTACAGAATTTTGAAGATAAAAGGAATCTTGAAGGTTAGCACATCTCAAATTCTTCAAGGCCCTGCCCTCTAGTCTCTCAGCTTCCTGAGTCATTTATCTGATGACTCTACTAGGGAGAAAAAGAAATAGATAAATTTTAAAGCATGAAGCAAAAACAAATTTTGGCTCTAAGTAATCCTCTTAAGCCCAATTTAATCAAGCCTGGATTCTTTTTCTATTGCCAATTTGCAACAAGAACATAATTACTAGCTGGAGCCTAATTTGAAAATGTTCCCTGTGAGTGATGAGTGTAATACCGAAGGACAGAATGGGATTCACTGGTGCTTCATTCCAGGGTCATTTGTAGGACATCGCAGGGTTTGTAAGACTGAGTCAGGACATTGGGAGAGTGATAGATAAATTGCACATATTTTTCTTCTTCCAGATCATGGATTTCAGTGACACTTTATAACCGTGCACTTTGGAACAATGAAAAAAAATTAAACAATGACTTTGTTAGATATTTCATCCTCAGATTCATTACTCTTTCTGATGTAAATTTAGCAATTTCAATCTAGATGAGTGAAAGACTAGGGAGCCATCTGTAACGTCACTTCAGGTCCTTTAGAAGTGAAGGATTCACTTTACAAAGTGTTTATATTCCTTTCCATCCCTTAGTAATAGTGCTACTGTGACTCTTCCCTTTGCTTTGTGGAGGGTAATGGCAGGCTTTATTTTAATTTGCACCTATTTAAAGTATATTTACTTGATATTTCTCACTGTCTTGAAAACTTTTATCATTAAGTTTAACCTTCATTTAAATCACTAGGTCTATTTAGTAAAAGCTATAGGAACATTTATTTGCAAACTTCTCAGGAAATTACTAACTTAACCTTTACTTTGGAAAGAGCCATTAGTAGAACTCGAACCGGGTGTATTTTCCAGAACCCTTGAAATGGATCATAATTACATCTTTGTGCTTATCCGTGGAGATATTTTCTAAGGGTAATTATCTTTCTGAAATACTTTATTTTACTCAAACAACAACCGTTCCAAAATATTTATTGAAAATATGACAAAGAAACAAAGACTTGGTGAAAATTAAGTGACTTCTGCACGTCAATGAGGTTAAGAAAATATGTATTTTAATTGTTAAAATTAAACAATAGTACAGAAAACACTTCTTTATCCAAAGACATTTCTGAAAGTGAAAAACCCTTTCTTCTATTTTATCCACTAAACCATAAAAAATATAATAACCTGGGCGAATATTTGGGTATGTTCTTCACTTGTGTTGGGGAGGAAAAATAAATGTTCTTCTCTTCAAGCTCATCTGGCTGGCCTAATAACCAAATGAACACACGACAGATTAACAAGAGAAAAGAACCACATTTATTACATGTGTACATACTGGGGTTCCCTAGGAATATAAGACTCTAGGGCAGACCGGGCAGTTAGGTTCGCAGGCCAGGCTAGACTAAAAAGAGCGAGGCAGGGGTCTGGGGAGTCAAAAGGAAAGCAGACAATTCACAGATAAATGAGAAAGACTAAACATTTGGTAAACAAATCTTGCCAGGACACCCAGACACAATGGGACTCAGAGGGAACTCTAAAAACCAACTTTGCTTGGCTCCTTCCTTTCTTCCACACTCAGGTCACATTATGACACGAAGGTCATAGCTCCCTTCCTCTGAGCAGGTTTTTCTATCTGAAGTCCTTTAGGCAGGTAAGGCGGAAGGTCACAGGTTCTTTCTAAGTCTTGTGTTTCTTAAAAATAACCAGCTTCAGATAATCAGTATCCCAGAAGGCATATTTTGGGGTTGCCAAACTCTGCTTCCCCTCACCTGCAAGATCCCCAGGCACTACCTCCCCCATCAGGGCCATACAGACTGTGGCAAAGAAGCTAGCAGAAGTGAACAACTTCTAACCCCAGGCACTCATCCATTCCAGAATTTACCCCCAGGTCTCCGTGAAAGCCTGTATTCCCAACACAACTGACTCTATTTAGTAAGTCCCTGAGCTTCTCTCAGTCTCAACCCCAAGTAAGTTTTCCAGGGCTGGAGAGGAAGCAAGATAGCGATGCCCCAGGCTCATTGAGTGACAAGCAATAGATGCAATAAAAATAGATTATATATCATTACATACAATTTACTTTTATGGCTTTTACAGGTTGGATAGCTTGCATGTTAAGAGAAATCTTGGTAATTTTGCTTTAATATGCATTATAATCAATCAATACTGCTCTAGGTGAGCTAAACATGTTTCATTGCTACCTACAAAGCATTTAGAGAATGGTCAGTTATCTCATACCCAGTAATTCTTTTCTAAATATTTGTGGTTGCACGGGCAAACGTTTTGAAATGTGTTGTTTATTTTTACAGGAGCATGAGAACTGATTTAAACACTTCAGGTATGGAACAAATTCCACTACATTTCTTTGTGATTCCTGGTATCTGGTAGTCACCTCTGTGTCCTGGAACAGAGTAGTTAAGAGCAAAGGAATCAAGCGAGATGTGCTGACGCAATCCCTGTCCTGCCTTTGCCCCTTTCTAAGTGTACAGCAGGAATTCTTGCGCAGAGCCTATCTTTCAAGTGGGAGGCATCACTTCACATTTTTCTGTGCTGGTGGAGTTCGGTTTCCTAGTTCCTGGTATCTAACTCCCTGGGCATGAACCACTCCCAGGCTAGCTCTGCAGGCAGATCCCAAACAATAGGGCCTCTTGTCCTTGCTGATTTGGAAGGGAAGTGGTCCACAACTACATTTCTTGATAAATCTAAAATCATCTGGCCCCTTTTCTTCCTGCTTTCAGCTTTGGCCTCCTCTTTGTTGTCAGATGATACCATTTAATGTTTTGTTTGACCGTTTTTTTCTTTACAATTCTCCTGTCTCAGGATTTTAAAATTTTAACACAAACTTTTGAGGTGGAGGTTGTCCTATAGGCGCCAGTCGAGAACTCTTCCCTTGCTTGCTGCTGACCCACTTCTAAGTTACCATCTGACCCGGGGGGTGGAATGGACCTGAGCTCTAGTCATGCACATAAAAGAATGTCTTGGAAGGAACATAGAGGCACATTTCACTGCACTTAAGTGGAGAGGGGGAAAAATACTTCTACTTTAAAAACCAGCACTTAAAGGCATGTTTAGTCACACTTGCAAGAGTCCTCTCCAAAAAAGCAAATAATTAGAGGATAGGTGTTTTTACAAATGGGATGTGTCTCTGTACCCTCCCTCTGGGCTTAAGTGTCCACAGTACCAGACCAGCTTCATTGCAATGTGGCTTCCCCTATATTACAATCCACAGTATTGAACCTGAGAACATTGTAAGGAAATGCTATTGTAGTTTCATGAAAAATGCAGAATCTCCTTTGCAGTATATAGAATTTTCATCTATTAATTTCTACACCAGATTTTATTTCAAAATGAAATCAAAGAGAATTTGTAGAAATTCCAGAGATGGCCAACTGGCAAATTTTTTCCTCTCATTCTCTAAAGGCGAGGATCAATTTAGCAGCAGCTTTTTCATGAACACATAGTACATTAGCACATAATTAGTACATTCTGCATATACTCTGAAGCACTCCTTATTTAAGCCATGGATATTTAAATTAATGTGGGACATCAATGCTTTTATCTTCATCCTACATGTGACTGATTCTTTCACCTACCTTTTGGCACAAACTCAATTTTGTTCAACTGAACACGCATTCGATGCCTATCTATTATATATGAGGTACTGGCAGGCTCTGGGAGAGATCAAAACTAAATAAGTAACCAGACATATTACCTGGCCACAAGACATGCACAAATAACACAAATCGTAATGGGATAGGCACTTTCAGGGAAGAGTGGAAGACCTAGTTTTAGCTCAAGAGGGAGAGAGAGAGAAAGAGAAAATCGTGAAGGATTCTATGAAGGAGGCAGTAGTCTTTGAGCTGGAAAAGGGGAGCAAGACTATCCTAGATGCAGGAAATAGTGTGAACCAAGTCGAAGGGATGGGACAGTGCCGGACATGGTCAATAGAGGAATGATGAAAGGTGCGGCCAGAAAGCAAGGCAGGAGCCGGACTATGGAAGCCTTGGGCCGTGCTAGGGAGTGTGGACATTACTGTTTAGTAGGTAAGGAAGGGTCCCTGAGAGACAGAAAAATGACAACATTAGTGTTAAGATTTAGGACAACTGCAATTTCTAAAAGAAGCCTGGGGAGACTGGAGATAGGAAATCATTACAATAGTCCAGGTGAGGGGCGCCAAAGCCTCGAACCAGGCAAGAAGCAGTGAGGAAAAAAGGACATGAATACATAGCCAGCAAGGCTGACTGATGGACTGACTACCTGTGGGGACAAGAGAGACAAAAGGCGCCTGAAGATGACAGAGTTTGGGAGGCAACAGGACGGGAAAGTAGTGAGTCCATGAAAGGAGCAGGGAAAGGAACTGGAAGAATTAGGGGAAGTGAAGACGTCAGCTATCGACCACTGAGCTTAGAACCAAAGCCCTGGCCTTGACCCCTGACTGCGCTGCCTGTTTCCCGGTGTCATCTTCAATGTCCCTGGGCCTCAGCTTCCTGAGCTGTGGAGAGTGTGTGCGTGCGGGCGGGGACGAGCAGGCCGTGACCGGCTGTGTGGACGCCCGAGCCCGGTCTGCCTGTGGGCCGGGGCCGCAGCTCGGAGCGGGCCCTGGGGCGGGCAAGGCCGAGAGCAGCCACTGGCCGAGCGTGTCAGGTCGCAGGATGGCATAAGATGCAAACCCGGCATGCAGTTTTCACAAAAGCAGTAATTATTTTCCCTGTTTGTTTTCTTTCACGTTCCTTCTCGTTCTTTCCGTTCTCTCTCCTCTACCTCCCCACTTTCCCTTACTTAGGATTGTATAGTTTTTCAGTGTTCCCTCTGATTAGCATTTCTTTCCCCCTTTTTACACTCCTCTGAATCACTTCTTTTTCCCCTTTCATACTCTCTCACTCACACGTATCACCCTTTACCCCAAGAAAAGCAAAGATGAGTAGAATCCTAATCCCTCGTTGAACTTAGACTGAGTGTAGACCAAAATGGAGCCTGTAAATCCGATTTCTACTCTACACGGGCTAGAATAACAAGTGCTCCCACTGCAGTAAAGCAATCCCCTGGTGCCATTAACCTGGTCAGAGTCGCATCCCCCCGCTCCTGGGCAATGGCTAGCGGGGGGCCACCGTCTCTAATTCACCTCTCAATCCTCTCAGCATTTGGAAGGAACCACATTTTTTCTCCTTTCTCTGTCAGACTTGGGATAAAGCAGCACTTCAAATGTACTTCTGCAAAAAGGCTTCGAGGCAGGGCCCAGGCTAAACCTGTCTCTCTGGATCTGGGTCCATCCCTCTTCTTTCATGGCTTCTAATTTCTTATCTTCCAAGGCTTTATTCTCCTTAACTCTGCTGATTTCTTTACAGTGAGCCCAAACAATATGCTTATCTATGAACCTATGGTCTTTTCCAAGGTGGACAGAAATGAGGCAAAGAACAGAGATTCAAGAAAAGAAGAGAGGGGAAAATACTTCCGAAATACAGGAGTGTCCTCCCCACCCCCGCTCACCTTTCTTTTCCGATTACAACACAAATTCCCTGGAATCCTAGGCAGGCAGGTTCATTCTATGTTGATGAAACCCAGACTAAAAGGAGACAGGGTGGGAGAGCCCTAAAGGGAACCTGTTGGCGAAATTTAACAGTGGGCTCCATCGGAAAGAATAAAGGCAGTTTTGATGAGGTGGCTAGAATATCGTTTGCATTTAAGACCTAGAGTAAGTTTCCTCTCTTTCTGTGCCTTTTTTGTCTCCTGCTTTTGGTTTTATACTTCCTTCTGCACTTGCCCCCTCTCTTCCGCTGTCCCCACTATTTTCTCTTTTGCCCCCTTTCCCCATGTCAAACCCTCCTCTCATTTCCTCCAACTTGTGCCTCATCTATCTCCCCCTTTCTCAGGGGAATGGTTGTGAGGAAAGGAAAGTAAAACAGAAAAAGAAAAGGCCCATGGAAAAAAACACACATATAAGACAACCTAAAGGTAATTTTTTACAATTATAAATCTCTATAGATAAAAAGGACAGACATGACACGTTCACAAAAAGTTGTCAATTGAATCTTTCCACACTGAATCTTATTGCTTCTAATGCAGTGACAAATAGAGGTGTACTGGAATGTTGAGGGTTGGTTGTGGTTTCTGCTCTAAAATCCATCATGGGTCAAAATGTAGCAGCCCAGGAAAAGAGGGAGCTTCAGATAAGGCCCTAGAAGAGAATTGCTTGCAGCTGGTTTTTCGTGATTCCTTTCATTCTCCTTCCTACTCTTCCTCTTTGCCTCCCGCATCACACTCTTTCCCAACCTGCTGTCTTAGATTAGCCAACACAGCCAAGGGCTCTTTCTTTCATACCAAAATTATATATTTATAGACTACCTACAGGGATGCCACGTACAGCTATGCAAATTGTACACCGCACAGCGTTGGGGGCCCCATTCACACTGTAGCCTACGTGCAGTGCATGACCTGCATAGCTGTATGTGGTGGCCCTGGCCTACTGTATTCTAAATTTCTTTGAGACACTGGCTTGGCAGTGAGTTACTTAAGAATGAAACTCCTTTCAGCAGCCTCCCACAGCATAGCTTGTGTGTGTGAGTGTGTGTGTACATGCATGCCTACATGTGCACACTTAGGGGCTGAGTTCACAGAATTGAAGGGAAGGTTGGAGAACTCGAGTGGCCTTGGCAGGTACCACAAGCCCATCTCATCAGGGTTCTGATGATGGAATCCAGGTACCTACCCTTCTTTCATTTGTCTGTCATGCTGTCACCAAAGTCAGTTAACTTAGCACTGGGCACTTAGTTTATTAACAGGGCCCCACCCAGATGCACACCATGGGCCAGAGGTTATGCACCAGAGGAAAATAATGTCGCCAAAAGATAACAAATGTCCACACACAATAATCCCCTGGCCTTCTCATACACTGCTCAGCCTGCCACTGTGCTTTTGTCACTTCTTTTCCCCTTTAAGTATGTTCTTAATATTTTTCTTTGGTAGTGGCAGACAGTGAAGGGGTTGCACTCGGGTTGACATGTGCAGGCTCCTACATCCACTTAGAGAGAGTCCCAACCCCTGCTAGCTCTAAAAACAGGGTGGGACAAAAGTAAGTTTACAGTTGTTCCTATGGAAAATAATAAATAACAATACAAGAATAAACTTTCTATTTTGTGTACTCACAACTGTAAACCTACTTTTGCTTTACCCTGTATATCATAAAATTTAGAGAGAAAATCCTTGAATGATAACCCAATATTCTATAATGATTTCATCCATTGATTGATATATTCTACAACCATGAAATTTCATATATTGGGGCCTCATTAAGGACTGCAAATGCAAAGAAGGGCATTTAAATCTTGACTTCTGAATTTGAAAAAGTGGCTCCCAAATATTTAAACTGTGAATTGCTTATGTATGGGCAAAGGTAGGCAATTTTTTTAAATGGTGGAAAAAGTTTGTTCTAATAAAGACTTTCTATTACAACTGAAGTTATGTGAAAGTTAACTGGCCCCTTATTTCAATGAGCATATGTTACTTGCATGTAAATCTCAGATACCTATGACTTATTTTAGGACTCAGTTTAGCACAGATCCGAAACTTGCAAATAATGCAATGATTTATCTATAAGTCTTAAAGAATAAAAGCTCATAATCTTAATCTTGACATCTTGGTTTATTAGATTCCTACATGGGTAGAAATAGCTTAAAACAAAAACAAAAATTTTAAGAAATTTAGATGTTCTTTTAACATTGCTTCAACCTCTAGATTTAAAAAATGAAAACTTATCTGTCCAAAGGATCTTTATTCTTATATTAAGAAGAAAACCTGGAATATAAATGTAATTTTACTTGTTTCAATCACTTATTTTATGCATATTTAGTTTTTTAAAGTTTTTGTAGAAATAACTTTTTTCTGTATTTCAGACTTTTGAATTAATTGAACTGACTTCTCCATCTTTTTTTTTTTTCCAGATGAATTCAAACTACTAAATTGAAATACAAGCACAGCTCAAGAAATAACAACACAAGGGAAAAACAAAGCAATGTCTTCCATGTGGCAGAAATAAAGGCTACCACTAGTCATTAAGCATTTGAATCTATGTCAATCTTATTTCTTAAACCTTAATTACTGTGGATATTGATTTTAAAGGAAGGTTGAAAAGTATACAAAACTATAAGGTTTTTGATTCATAAACTCAATTTTCATCTGTAGGGCTTCTTTGAGATTGTTGGATAAATCTTTTATTCTCTTTGGTTTTACTTTTCTCGTTTGGACATTAGCCCAACATTATGTTGTTCCTAACATTGGGCACTGTGGTGTCCTTGAAGGCTGGGGCCATGCTTTTTCTGTCTTTGTGTTCTAGCTGAGCACCTGGCCTAAAAGACAGTATTTATGGGATCAATGAATGCCATTTTCAGACAGGTGTTTGGTTTTTTTAATTCCCATACTTTTAAAAATAAAGAAACTACAGTCCCCATCCAAAAAATAGTTTGAGCTTTTAAAAACCATCACTTATTCATTCCCCAAAAGCAAATAGTTTGAACTTTTAAAAACCACCACTTATTCATTCCCCAAAAGCTGCCAGTCTTTCTATAATGTGTTTTGCATGCATTCTCAATCTTCACAATAGTCTGAGGGTATTGCTACTTTCCTGTTTTACAGACAGATGGTAAAAGTGAAGCTTAGCGAGGTTAAGTTACTTGTTCAAAGTCATATATATATTGAGAAGAGAAAATATGAGTGGAAAAGAGCCTATTGCAATAATCCAGGCAAAAGATGATGATGTCTTAGAGTAGGGTGGCAGTAGTAGGGTTGGTGAGAAGTGGTTAGATTTTGGATATGAAGGTAGAAATGAAAGGATTTCCCAATGAATTGGATCTACAGTAGAAAGAAAGCCTGAACAACTGGGATAGTGAGATTACTATAGAAGAAAACTAGACAAACATAAAAAGTTGTGGCATGTTAAATTTTTAATGATCATTAGAAATTCAAATGGAAGTGTAGAGCCGATAGTTGAATATATTATTCTGGAGTTACGGCAGAAGTTTAGGCTAGAGACAATTTAAGTTGAGTATATAGATGGAATGTAATCACATAGGTAGTGAGTGATGAAGACCATGATAATAGGTACAAACATTCACTGGAAACAGTGCCTGGCATGTTTAAAGTGCTTTACATAAATAGATTCATTTAGTCTTCACAACCCCTAAAAGAGGTAGCTACTTCTATTACCATCCATTTATAGATAAGGAAATTGAATCTTGGGAAAATTAAGTGACTTTCTTCTGATCAAACAGCTAGCAAGTGGTAGAACTGGGATTCAAACCCAGGCAGACAGAAGTAAAATATTAAGTGTTAGAGCCCTGGGACACTCCAATTTTCAGCAATCGGAGATAAAGAAGAATCAGCAAAGGAGACTGAGAAGGAGGTTCCGGTGGGTAGGAAGAGAAGCTAGAGTTGTCAGGAGCCCAGAGTACAAAGTGGAGAAAATGCTCAATGGCATCAAATGCTTGCTGGCAAGTCAAGGAAGACAGGAGCTGAACACTGACCTTTGCATTTAACAACTGGCTCTAATAGGTGACCTTGATAAAGGCTGTTTTGAAGCAGCGATGGAACTAAATCTCAATCAGAGTGAGTCCAAGACAGGATAGAAGAGACATTAGGGTTCAACTCTGGAGTTCACACAGATACCACCCCAGACCCAGTCAGAGGTATTCATATATGGATATGAATTAAATGGGTAGCTGAGATTTGTTTCAAAAACAAAATAGAGATTTGATTGGGAACTTAGTGAGGAAAAGATATGGGTAATTTTATAGCCCTTTTCAGGAGAATAAACCTGATTTCTTGTCTCTTGGTCCTTCTCTTATTAGAATTTCCAACCTCCAAATTTGCCTACCTCTCCTCCCCAAAATGAAATTTCTCCTGGACCATGGTCTACACATCCCCAGCCTAGCACAGGACCACTCAAGAAGGGTACAAATAAAAGCATGATAAATGACTAACAGCCTAAATATTGAATATGCTACTCTGAAGTTATTGTTGACTACTTGATGTTCCCATAAGCCCATGCTTTTCTCTGTATTCTTCACTCATTCAAATTAATCAAAAGTTTTATCTTTTTAAAGCCATGTGTAAAATCTTGATTTTCCTATTGTAGATTTTTCAATAGCAGTTTATTTTCTCTCCCTGTCCCTCTCCTCATTAGATAGCAAAGCTTCTCCTAGTATAAGACATAATTTACCATTCTGAGTCCATAGAGCCTTATTTTCATTTACTATATTATATTTTACCTTTATGGACTTGTCTTATCTTGTCCCTTTCCCCACCTTAATTCCTCCAGGGCAGGGACTGTCACATGTTTCAGTCCCTGCAGCATAGTACTTAGCACTCAGTAGGAAGTACTTAATATAAATTTTTGAAATTAATGAGTGAATATTTATTAAAGCCAATTGAATTGAATGATACTCACCTGTGCTGAATGACACTGATGCTAAACTCACCAAAGACAGTGGAACCTCCCATTCCACATGGCAACAACTGCCTAATGTCCCTAGCTTAGGAACATAATTTTAGTCAGATTTATGAAAGGTTAAGAAGGACTATAAAACATCAAAACAATAATAACTAAACCCAATTAAATTAGAAAAGTTCATGGTTTATTGGTTTGCTTTTGTTTTTTGTGTTTTTTTGGTCTTTAAAATGTTTTAGATACTTTTAAAATCATTAATGTACCTACTAACTTGTTTCATAAGTTCTCTTATATCTCAATCAGTGAGCATTCTTTTAATTTACATCATTTTTGATCATCTGGTTCATACAATTATAAGTAATTAGGTACTAATTCAGTTATGAAAACTTTGGCTTTCACTAGTACACAGAGTTGATAAAACCAAAGGGACATAATAGCCTTAGTTAAGGATTTCACATATAACAGTGAATGGTAGAATCTGAGAAACTGAGATTTCAGACCTGTTGCAAATGGCTGAAATGCAATATTAATATATTTCCCCCAAGCCTTTATCATAATAAAATGGCACAACATTTTGTTACATAAACATGTAATAGAGGCTGTTGGGAGATGGTGGTTAAGCAGATCCCAAGATGAGGAAGGCGGAGGGGTATTTACTATGGTTACTCCCCACCATACACTTGTTTTTACAGTTTGGCTTTCACTACTCACCTGAAATACTTATTTACAAAATTGCCAGGATGACTCAGTGGGTGAACCTGCCTGTGACAAAGACAACTCTTCTGACGGGGTTTTAAACCACAGATCACCCATTTCATTCTATTTGGGGATGAAATCATATTTTCTTAACTCCCTATGCTATCCATATCAGATTCCAGATGCAGAAGGCTACCAGAATCTTAAAGCTAGAAAAAATATGTAGTTAACCTGTTATATTACAGATGAGAACATTTTAGCCAAGTAAATTTAGGAAAATTGAGGAAACGTTTAGGAAACGTTTCACACATCAAAATCACAGAACTAGTTAGTTAGCATCAAAGCTAAAACTCAATCCAATTACCTTACCCCCAATTTCTGTATCTTTCACTCTTCCCTTAATTCTTTTTTTTTTTTTTTTTGCACACAAGGGCAATAATTTGAGCGATTTCAGGATTCTGGGAATGGCTTTAGTCACCAGAGAATAACCTTTTTATTTGCCAAAGGGTCTACCCTCTTTTAAAATGAAAATAACTTTGGGAAGTAAAAATAGTAATTAACGTTTGTATAGCACTTTACAAAGGAATTTCCACATATTTTGAGAACATTAACTGCTATCTCACACAGATAGCGATCACCTTTTTATTAGGGTGCATTCCTGTGACAGAGGAGTCCAAGCAGCTAAGGAAGAAGCCTAACCAGCCGGAGAGTTCATCCGGGCAGGGGTGTTATGCAAAATTGCTTGGAGCCAGGCAATTGGAATGTACAGATAATGACTTTTAAAAGGTCTTTGAACAGCTAGATCAGTGGTTCTTTAGAGATGATTTTTGGCCTCCAGGGGATTTTTGGCAACGTCCAGTGACATTTTTGATGGTCATAAAGAGGGCAGTGGTACGACTGGCATCTAGAGGGTAGAGACTGGGGCTGCTGCTGAACGTCCTGCCATGCACAGGGCAGCCCCGCAGCCAAGAATGAAGCGGCCCCAATGTCCACAGCGCTGAGGTCGGGAAATCCTGAGCTGGAGGAAGAAAAATGCACTGAGCAGCTACAGGAGGCTTCTTGAATTGTTCTTTTATGTATTTCAGAACTTGGAAAAGGAAATAGGTGACACACACGCACACACGCACCCCCCCCCCTTTTTTTTTAACGGCTAGCAATTCCTAGGGAATTCTGGAGACTTTATCTGGATTTTCTCGCACTGGATGTGGGCGTCCCAGGTAACTCTAAACCCATTCACTCGAGTTTTGTGAAACAGCTGTGGCCTTCGGCATTTTTCCTTTCTGGTTTTCAGAATTCGATCCTAGCTGGTAGCTTTTTGGAGTCTTCTGCAGTAGCGGAGGCTTCTCCCGGGGGACCCTACGTGTGCCGCGGTCCAGTGTGTCACGGTTTCTTTTTTGTTCTTTAACAAACGTTGTATTGCGTGACCTGCTTCACAGGACACGAGGAGCGGCCTCAGGGGGAGCCAGATTTTCTTCAGGAGTGGACAGTCATCCACGGAGAGGCGAGCCCAGGGCTGTGACCCGCTGCCACCGCGTCTCAGGGAAACGCCGCGTCGCCACACGACCTCCCCACCCGCTCAAGCCCAAAGCGATTCCCGAAGCCGAGCGCCCCGAGCAGTTTGTCTTTTATACTCCGAGGCGCGAGGGCGCGCGCGACCGGCCGCTCGGAGCTGCAGAGCCGACCAATGA